GTAAATTATATACTAACAGTCTCTTCTCTTGCACTCCTCGTTTGTGGAACTTTCTTCTGGCTTCTTGTTTGCCAGTCAATTTTGATCTTCAAAAATTTAAATGCAATGCCAATCGTTATCTTCTGTCAACTTAATTTATGTTCCTTTACTGTCCCCTCATTAATATTTTCTTTTTCTTGCATATTAGTAGCGTTATTGCTTTGCATGGGGTGAAGTGATTGAAAATGTAGTAATTATGGGCCGATTCTTTTTATACTTGATATTAAAAGCAATCAATCACTTTATGTACGGGAGAATCTTATTAATACAAATTTACACGTGACGTAAAAAATGGCTAATGTTATAAGAATGTGATGTTTTTTTTTTTAAACATAAACAAGCACAGTATGCGTAAAAAAAAACGATGGGAAACGTTCTCGAAACAACATGCCACCTAAATTTAACCGCACAACAGATTTTGGTGGGGGATAGAATTGCATGGTCGAACCAAGAACTTTTCAGAATATCTCATACGTACTCCTGTGATCTTTGTCTGGGTGTTTAAGAATTAGCGGAACGCTGGCATAATGGAGATATCACTTGGTTGCAACCAGGTTGGATTTTCAAATCATGGCAGGACCCATTTGTTACTGACACGAACACACACATATTTTATTTATATATATATATATATATATATATGTGTGTGTGTGTGTGTGTGTGTGTGTGTGTGTGTGTGTGTGTGTGTGTGTGTGTGTGTGTGTGTGTGTGTGTGTAGATTAATAATTTTTCACCTCATGCAAGGCAATAAAGTAACTAAGATGCAATGGGTTACTGAGTGTAAGAGAACACGAGAAAAAATTAAGAGAAAACAATAAAAGAACAGGAATGGAGGAGACAAATGATACAGATTGACATTGCATTTGAATTTTTGAAGAAAGTTTTTGCTAAGTAAGAAGCCGAAAGATTTCCACAAGCGAGAAGTGCAAGATAAGAAACTGTTATCATAGAATTTACGGTTACATCTAGCAATTTTAACTGTAAAACGATGAGAAATTGCTACCAATCTAGTATTGCACTTAAATTCGTGAAGTCTAATTACTATAAAGGAAATATTCATCAGAACTGTTACCATGAAAATATTTATAGAAAAGGCACAGGGAATATGCGTTACACTGGTGGGAAAGGAACTGAAGCCAAGATACCAGGTCAGGGCTAATAATATTGCAGATTCTTCTTTGGATTTTCTCAAGATTCTCTAAATTCATAGCAGAAGCACCAGACCAGATGCACCAGCAATATTCTATGCATGGACAAATGGTGGACTTATAAATATGTAAGATAGATTATGGCAAGAAAATATTGTCTAGCATGAACCAACTTTCCCAGCAGCAAATCTAGCAATTGATTCAATACAATCATTCCAGTCATGTCAGCGGAAAAATTTTCTAACACAAACTTACGAAAATATAGAATTAGACTGAGGGGGTTGTGTTTACTCGTATTTTGACAGAATAAATTTCCTATATGGGATGGATATTGTATTTATTTACAAAAGAGTCACAAAAATAGAAAAAAAAAGAAATTACATATTTTATTTAATATATTAAATTTTTTAAGAAATGTATAACTGGTAATTTAAAGTATATTTTTAAGAAGAGAATAGTGCCACTTTACTCCCCCACTACAAACGTATTCTAAATGTGTTACTGTTGTTAAAAAGTGAAATTTATAAATTTCCACACCAGTATTTAAACAAGTCTGATTTCGAACACCAATATATATAATAAAAAATATGAATGAAATATTTCTTGTATCATTATTTTTGGTATTATATATCTATTCTGATATGTTTCTATACTTTTGCTTGCAGGCTGATCTGTGCATATTCAAGTGCCGAAATAATTTTAGATTAATTCCTATAAATTATTTAAAATAT